GTTTGGCTAACCGAAAAACTACAACTTAATTACTCCCGTTTTGATCACCAGCACCCCCTTGAACAACCTTTTCGATGAATATCGGCGTTTTGTTAACGGCTATTTGTTAGCCAACAAATCGAAATTTATAAAAAAAGTGACACTTGCCAATCTGCACGGTGTGATGTATGGCGTTGACCTGATTTTGCCTGCTTTTTATTATCATTTCCATCGGCTGCATGTTGATTTCGTGTCTTGTCTGTCCGTACACACCTTTCCATGACGCGACGACCGGCAATTTGTCATTGCCTTTGGGGCGCCGATTATCATAATTCATCGGGAGTGCATTCGAGTGTGGGCAGCAAGTTCAAAGTGTTAAGTGTGATTTTCAAACATGTGTAATACACGGCGTATGCTTAATGCTCTCACAACACAATGCCAGCACATCGGATTGATCTTTTGACACCCGAATAACAACTGTCAGGATGGCCGAGTGGTCTAAGGCGCTGCGTTCAGGTCGCAGTCTACTCTGTAGGCGTGGGTTCGAATCCCACTTCTGACAAGAATTTTTTGTTCTTCTAAATTTAAAATAATTACGACTTGTATATGTGTAACTTTTCTAATTTAAATAATTAACCAGAAACTGAAGTTTATGAAAAATAATAGTTGTAAGTGTGAGTTGAGACCACTAGTTTAATACATACTATACATGCATTTTTTTGGTTTCATAAATTATACTTTTTTAGGATACTTAAGAAGTTATTCGCCCTAGATGAAACTGGGAATTGGCACTCGTTAGTTTAATAGTCAGGATGGCCGAGTGGTCTAAGGCGCTGCGTTCAGGTCGCAGTCTACTCTGTAGGCGTGGGTTCGAATCCCACTTCTGACAAGACTTTTTTATTCCATTACAAATTTTTAAAGATCTTGATCTATTTTTGTGAAGTCCACGTTCTACAGTATACATTCTGTCAAAAATACTTTTGTGAGTATAAACCAGTAATCGTTACTTTTAGTGTTAACATAGTCCTTAACGAATAATTGAAAAAGCCTAAACAGATCTATCTGAACACATTATAAAGTGAAGTTGAAAGTGTAGGTATAGTTAATGAATTCACTCTCAATACTGATTGTACATACATTACAATTTACAGCCAGAAGTTTTTTTATAACTTAAACAACTTGTGATGGAATGTGGTATGGATTTTACATTACTTACTTGTTGTGCTAACAACAGCTGATATAGGTTCCTTGTATCGACGACACACTGTGACAGTATATGCTCCCTAACGAAAATGAAATTTGGGCGAACGGCCTTCAAGAGTCAGGATGGCCGAGTGGTCTAAGGCGCTGCGTTCAGGTCGCAGTCTACTCTGTAGGCGTGGGTTCGAATCCCACTTCTGACAAAGATTTTTTGTTTTATTTTATCCTGCAGAACGATCACAGTGCGCATCTATAATTTTTTCAATCCAATCACAATGATGATCCCTATTTGTCTGGATCAGCCATTAGCAAGTTTTAACAAGCGAATATTCCTCTCAGGGGCGCCATGAAAATTACAAGTAAATCAATTTGTAACCGCTTAATTGTCAATATTCCAATCACATAATCGGCTGCCAGTTAACGATTGCCCCCGGCTGTCGGCCAGACAGATACATAGAAAGACCACACAGGCGATGCTGCCTGCTGCCTGGCCCCATGGGAATTATCGCCGTCTGGCATCGCCGGCACACACTTCTAGTTATAGTTTGCCAGCTCGACTCATTCAGCTCAATCAGACAGAAATTAAAATGCTGACTGAGCGCGTTTTTCAAATGCGGCCCACTCAGTTCGTGTTTTTACAATTGTTCTTGGGAAAAAACAGATCAGGCCCATCTGTAATTATGTTGATGTGTCGGTCGTAAAACGCAATCAACTAACCACGACAATTGACAATTTGGCTAGCAAAAATAATACAAATAAAAAAAGAAGCTATAAAACAGGCCGTTAAAATTTTATTTCGCCTTAGCACTTGGGAAATTGAGGCTGGCCTGGCCATAACAGGCGAATGGGTCAATTGGCATGTGACAGCAAGTCAGAAGCTGCAGGCTGAAATTTTCACAGACAATGCACATTGACGTCTTGGAAATATGAGTGATGTGACAAGTGGATGCTTATCTGAAGCTCGACGCCTCTGTTTTTTTTCCGAGGGGTATCCTCCTTCGCCTGATGAGCGCCCATTGAAATTTATGACTTCGTCGAACAGCCAATTGATTGGCTTTTAAATATCCAAATGAAGGCTGCCAGTCGCAAATTGTAAGGCTGTAATTAATGGACAAAAAATCGTTTGAACGCCTATGCCTCAGAACCAACACCTGCAACACTTCGTATCTTTATTTATGGAAAAGCTTTTAACACTTTTAATTAATTATGGGATGGAAAAGTTGGTGGCTTAGCAATCCCGCAAAATTTATGGCACTCAATGTTGATAAGCACAAATGCTATCTAAATGCTAATTTCTTGATGAAACGCAGAAATCTGAATAGCCTACTAAAAATTGTATTCTAACTACATCTATTGCTTATATCTGAGTTTAAACAATTAATTATGTAACTTACAGAACATAAATCGTCAGAACAACTTATTTGACTGCAGACATTTATAAATATCTTTTTAAATGATTTTTTACAACATAATTAAAATGAAAATGTTTAGAAAAACGCATATGCGAGTGTTGACCTAACACAATCAGATAATCGAAAATTATTTGTTATTGAAAATTGATCCCACTCTAATTGGGCATTTACACAACTTATGGTTTATGTGAAAAAAAAAATATATATTTTATTAATCATTAATAAATTTCCCAAAATAATTTTCAAAACTAAGCAACGGAAAATAATAAAAAAATGTCACATTAGGGTGCATCTACTGTACTCGAGGAAAAGCTCAGCCTGTTTCCCAATGCTGCAGAGCTTTTCCGGCGAAGATCTCGCACGCATGGGCACAAAGCTCCCGAAAGTTGGAGAGACGCTCTCCAAACCGAGCTTCGCGCAGTACCTTCGCGTGACGCAGGCGAAGCTTTTGACAGTCGGCGCCAACGAGTATAGAATGCAGAACGTAATATAATCGAAATCGGAATCCAAGAAGCCATCCACTAATTAGCAGATTAGGAAGCCATTTAATCGTACCTAGCTGAGATCGTTTAAATCGCCGGTAATTTTATTTATATCCCCACAAGCGAAAGCTTCGACCAAGCGTTCTTTTTTTGAAAAAGCATATGAATAATAATAACATAAGGGTTATTCAACCCACAATTGCCGGGCACAGACTAAGATACACCAAAAGTAACGCACGTGACAGGTGAGTTGTTTATTTAACTATTTACCTTTGATAAGACCAGGTAACTGAAGTAAATAAATATTTAATTCAATGACATTTTGTAAATTGTAAGACCACGCGGGACCGCAATGCAAGCTCCAGTTATCCAAATAGCTTTTTCTTGGCTGTGCATCTAATTGGAGCTTTTTTACTTGCAGCAAAAGATAGCTTTCATTGGAAAGAGCGAAAAGCTCTTAGGGTTTTTTATAGTTATCCATTTGTTCTTTTATTCGTTTAAGCAAAAAGTAAAGGTAAGGAATGTTTAATTGAGAGAGGTAGTGTTTGTAATATATTTAATATTTATTTTGTTGACTTAGTGATCTGTAACTGATAAAGACCCACGGACACGCGTGTTTTTTTTTTGATGAGAAAAAGTCCTTAAAAAATTTAATCCTTAAGTAAAATATCAAATAAAGTTTAGTTTTAGATATAAATTTCACATGATCATATTTTTTTCTTATTTTGAACTATTTAATGGATCTGATATTTTAATCTCTCCTTCTAGCATGACTAGTTTAAGGATTTGCCAGGCTGTATCGCTGAATCCCAATGTTCTTGCATCAGGACCACCATCGCCCTCCAGGACTTGCCTGATGGGCTGCAAGGATGTGAAGCCCAATGAGTTGCGACGCTTTCCAGTCCACGATGATGTTCGGTGAGTGTTTTGTTTTTTTTTAATCAACCAAAAACCACATAAAACCTGTTTAAAGGCCTATGAAGAGCTTTCCGATCGATTCGATCAACAGATGAAGCTTATTATTGTTGTTGCTGTTGTTGTTTTTTCGAATCATTCTTTATTTTCAGCACAACAGCACCACCCATACCAATAAATACCGGAGCTTTGGCCTCCGCTCAATGCTTCCTCTTCTTCGTCTGATACCGATACTTCCCTCGCAGTCAAAGGTCATTGAACCTCCTCTCTCTCTCTCTTGGCTTCTTCGCATAGAAGTGCATCATTTTCATAGGAATCATTTCAATGCCAGAGCTAGTGCAGAAATCACTAAATGCAATAATGCCAATGTGGGCGGGGCAGTGGGTGGTCGGGGTAGGGCTGCTTGGTTCCAGATTCCGACACCCATTTATTTATAGCTCTCACGCTGCTCTCCTGTATATGCAGTAACAAATGCTCCACTCTGCTGGCCGTGAAGTTCTTGTGTATTTTTTCTTTGCCGCTTCTTTGCCTCCAGTTCTGCCGTTTGCAGTTGGTGTGCAAAATAAAAAATAAAGTTCCGTCTGCCAAAGTCACTTGGCATTGGCCATGGAGTTTAGAGTGGACCAAATTGAAATTTTTATCTATGCTTATCTAGTTCTTCGCCCTTAACCACACTTTGATCCTTGGTCAACACAACCAACAGTGATTAAATTTTGGGAAACTCCACTGCTTTAATGATAAGCGTATTTAATTATCAAAAAAAGCTTTCTCTAACGTTTGTTATTATCATTCTAACGTACCTTGAACCCGAAAAGTCAAAGTCACTGTCATAAAAAACGCCAAAGTGAGCTTTCCTATTTAAAAAGAAAAGCAAAGTCAAAGAATGTACTCAACTTTCGTTAAGTTTTATTTTGACATTGTGTTATCTTATTGTCATTGATGAGTTTCATATTTTTTTCTATCGGCGCTTTTATTTGTCGATCGTCATAGAGGTAAGCTTTCGATAAGAGAGTCCAAAAAGAAATGAGTCATAAGACTTAAAAAAAATAACAATTTCAAAGACTAATGCAATTTTTTCAATCTTTACTGTACATGGATAGCAATAAATACAAAACTTACAAATTTGGTTCACCAATTGATATGTAGTTCCTGACCTGCACAATATTTTCGAACTTGGTCCACCCTGAATGTGCGAGTTGGTATTACTGTTATTGTTGTTGTATCGCGTAGCCATAAACATAAAGCAAAAGCAAAATTAGCGGCAGTTCGACTTCTTCCACATCTTCCAGCAATGCAACAGCGAAAAATAGGAGGGAAGTTGAGCAGAAGCTGCAAATAAAGCGGCAGCAGCGGCAGCGACAACAACAAGAAAACAATAACAGTTCCCGGCGAAACTTCCGCTGAGCGAGAAAGAGCAAACGAAAGCGCAGCAGTCTGCCTCTTTGACTCGCTCACACTTGGGAAAGAAGCATAAAAAGAGCTTTTATTGCAACTACAACTTTTGCAAGAACTTTTCCAAAAGAGAATGAATGAGAGAAAGAGCGGGATAGCGAAAGTCGGATCTAATTTAAAAGCTTTGCAAGAACAAGAACGAAACTCCAATGCAGTTTCATTTCTTTCAGTTTAATCATTAAACAAAGAACCGCGCAACCGATCACTCGCTGCTCGTCGTCTCTCTTTTCCACGATAATTGGTTTGTTTTTCTTTTGATAACTTTATTAAATAAAATGGGTGAAAAGCTTTCTACCAAAAGAACCGTACTTAAGTGAAGCTTTCGGTGGTTACTTATTGTAGTCACCATTATTATTATAATTATTTCGTTGCAGCTGCAATCATTGGCTGCGTCACTTTGGAGTCAGCGATAAACTTGTGGATCAACTCGGTGGAATCCAAAAGCTGCGCATCTGCTTGAAACATTTTAGCCAACGCAAAGAGATGGCCAAAACTCGCATCAAGATGACGCCGTTGCGCAAGTCCTCGTCCTCTAAGGGATTACTACTAAACAGTAATGGAGGTACTGTCATCACAGGAGGCGGTGTTGGGGGAGGAGGAGTAACTGGTAGCACTGCTGTTAAGTCGGCGGTGGCCAACACCACCATTGAAATTCTAGAGGTGAGTAGCGGCAGTGCAAAACAAAAGAAACCAACCTTCAGCTTTCATAGGGGTTGGTTAATGGACATTCATGACCCTAACCCTCAGCATAAAATTTAATATTGGACGTTACATTTATGACTTACCACATTATTCGATCACTTATACTTATTTTTTGATGAAACGTATGAGGGAAAATGACATGATATAAGGGCTTTGGTGACCCCCTATACTTTTACTACTTTTACTTATAATATTTACTTAAATTGTTGATATAAAATCCTGGTCATACCTAATAACTTCCTTTATCCGCAGAGCCCCACAAGACATGCAGAGAAGACCTACCAGGCCAAGAAGACCATTACGAGCAACATGACCGTGCCACATCGTTCGCACTCCATTAGCTCCTCGGCCTCCAGCGATGTGCAGTCCATAAACTCTGACTACGAGGTCTCGTTACCCCTATCAGCCTTGGAGGATTCCCAGAATGGACTAAATCGCTTGGAGAATAGTCCTAGCAAGAAGAGGAAACTTTATTTGATCACTGAAAAGTCTGACGAGACCAATAGCCATACACCGGAGACCAATGGACTGCCCAAGAAGCGCAAGATGTTCGTGGTTGTGGAGCAGAATAAAGAAACGGCGGCTGGTAATAAACTGATGATTATGACCGACAAGCCGCAAGCCAATCTTACCCAGCATTTGAAGACACTATTACCGGAGATACTACATCATATACAGGACAAGGAGCAGAAGCAGATCAAGCCAACTCCAGTGGTGGTAAAAGCTAAGCCAGTGGTCAATAATCCTAGACCACATATAACATTGCCGCCCAAGAAGAATCCCACAAACTTTGTGAAGATCACGCCCACTCCAAGTCCAGTGCCTTCGCCGCAGATGCCGAATGCAATTCTTAACACGAAGATAGCAAAACCCGATCATTTTGAGGAGAAAATAAATTCAGAGGATATGGAGACGAACATAAACCTATCGCCCGACTTCCGCTTTCTAATGAAAATCCTTCCCAAATTGGAGCAGCTGCCCGAGCCACACAAGCAGAACGTCAAGCGTTCTATTCAAATCTTCGTTGATAAGAGCTATAGTATCTACGGAAATAAGGATTAGTTACCAGTATTTTTAACAGCATTTTAATTTCAATTTCATGTGAAAAAGTTCCCATTATTTTCGAAAGAATCGTACATATGAAAGAAGGCATTTCATAACGTTGTCCAAGACTGAAGCAGAACCAATTTAATATTTAAGCCAATAAGCACAGCTGTTAGTTATGTAAGCCAATTTAAAATTTTATATTACCCCCCATGGAGTTGGGTACAAAATTTTGAAAGATTTAAGCCATAAAACGAATTACCAAGATTAAATTCCTTTCTATATTGAATATATTAAGGCTTGATTTAAGCTTAACAATGGATATATCCAAGTCTTATTATTGGAAAATAAGGGACTATATTAACCACCCATTAGAAATAACACTTAATTTTTTTCGTATCTTTTTGGTTTTTTTTTTTTTGCATTGTAATTCCAAAGAACTTTATTTAGTTTGAAAGCATTTTTTACGGTTTCGTCTTCCATATTCTTTCTTTTCCAGTTACGTTATAATAATATTTAGTAAGTCTAATGCGGTTGGTTTATTTAGTGTGGTTTAGTTTAGTTAATACAATGGTTAGTGTGTCTCTATACGATTTCCATTTAGTAAATAATGCAAAGTTTTGTGTTTCACTTTCATTTAGCCCTCTGGAGAAAGGATTGCATTTTGTGTTAATTTACAATTCTTGCAGCCACCTTACACAAGTTAGTTTGTCTTTTGGGGCTTAGTTTCGTTTCAGTTAGTTAGTATTCTGGTTGGTTAATGTGGTTAATACATTACATATATACAGTTAAACAGTTGAATGTTTAATTTAGCTTGCGGGTCGAGGAAACCAAATTGTGTGTGTTTTTTTTTTTAAAGTATTAGGGAACTTTGTTGCGTGCTTTTTACTGGATGAGGATTTCTACATGAGTGGAGAGTTTCCATTTTCGAGTGCTACAAATATAATCGCGTAATATACTTTTTACAACATTTAGCAAATTTTCCATACACATATATATATATATATATACTCGTATATCATATATATTTTGGTTAAGCATCTGCCATCGATTTTCACTGGTTATAGGTGTAATATATATATATATCGTGTTTGTTAACTACGTTTTTGGTGTGTCCTACATTTTAGCTTTTTGTCGGTTAGCGTTTTCGAGTGTTTTTTACATGCTGTTGTTATAAGAAAAAATATTTGCCTTTAGGTTGCCCTACGAAACAGTTATGTTGTCATTATCATCAATGAGAAGCAATCACAAAGTTTTCTCTAAATTTATGTACGACAATTACTATATTTATCATTTTCATTTCATTTCATATTTACACAATTTTTTCTCGGAGTGCACAAAGCAGCCAGGTTCTTTGGGTGTAAGCAACTACAACTACATTTACGGTGAAGTTGAAGATTGTTTTTAATTTTTATCGTTTTTTTTTGCATTTACACATCGAGTTGGTTAAACATCGGTTAGTAGTTCGGTTTTGGGTTAAAAAAACTGTGTCACAATTTCTACAAACAGCCTTTTGTTAAACTTGTTAAACGTACATTTATATGGTTATCTTTATGTTAGGCGAATTAGAGATTATCTCGTAAATATAGGAGTGTTTTTGTTTTAATTTTTACATTTTATAACCTGAGCGCAATCATTTTTATGATTTTAAATCTACCAATCTTGACCAATTCTTGTTTCAAAAGACTCCTCTCGAAACTCTCATCAATCCTTATGGGTTAATACCATATATATGTGGTTTTTGGATTATTCAAAGGGTTAAATATATCCATTTGCTGTCTTTTTTTGTATTTACCTGTATTCTAATACAAACTTTAAGTATTTGGGTGTCTGTGTGTGTGTATTAATCTCAAATATTGTCCATACATATACATACATATAGTAGGTGCTAGTTGTCGGGGTTTCACTGTGTGTTACATAGCTATAAATTCTAATTAGCAAATGCATTGGGTTGGGTTGGATCCACACTTCAAGTAATGCGACAAAATGAAACAAAATTGATTCGTTTTCTTCTTTTTTTCGTTTTGTTCTTATTTTTTTTTTTTATACAAACAGTTTACACATTTTTTTTTTTGTTTTATTATCAGTTAACGTAAATTAATGCGTAATACGTATCTAATATATATAGTTAAGAATGATCCATAATCGGTTTACAAGTCAAATACTAATGCAGTTTACAGTTACAGTTGATCTTAACTTATGAACTCATTTCGAAAGGTCGATCGAAGACGACACACAAGTCGCTCTCTACCCAAAATCATATATATCCTACATATATATATATATCATATCAATCATCATATATCGAGTGTGTGTGAATTAATTTATATTTTAGTTCAGACCTGCTCCAATCGAGTAAGGGTTGTGCTATGTGTATGTGTGTGTGAGTGTAGTATAATGTACATGTCCATTACTTAGTTGTATTACCTCATAGCTAACCGTCGTCTTACTGATCTAGATACATATATATAGAGAGAGAGATGTGGTCTAATTATTGGTGGGGGTGTGGAGATAATGTTATGTACACGGTGCCTAAGCCGAACGAAAACTAACTATCCATATGCGTAGCTAGCTATAATTTATATATATAACTCTATGGGGGAGTATGTGCTTAGAGATGTAAATGATGTTTTCATTTTTTTGATGTCGATGTAGATTTTCAATTTGAATTGCATTCGAGCGAGTGTGTGTTTGTTTGTCTGGTCAAAATGAGGGCTAAAAAACAATGTGTAATCTCTAAACGGTACTCTATATACGATTACGGTTAAGAAAAAACTTTAGTTATAAACAAAAGTTGAAAAGAAATTCTACTTTTTTTGCACACTGATTTCCTTTTTGCTTTTCTTTTCTTTCATTTCGTTTTGTTTTTGCTATGAGATCTCCGTGAAAGTTTTGAATTCATATTTGTTTTTGTTTTTGTTTTCGTTTGTTTGTTTGTTTGTTTTTTTTTTATGCTAATCCATACATGTATATATATTTTGGTTAATATATATAATGCTATAATTAATAACTACATACATAAGAAAGCAGCACAGTTAAGAGAATTGAAGAAGAGAAAAAGTTTAGTTTAGCTTCAGTTTTCAGTTAAAATTTCTTCGAGAGCTTCTTCTACATTTCATCGTCGCGTTTTTCAGTTTTTCTTTTTTCGATTAAATATTTATGCATTTGTTTTTGTTTTTTATTTTTTGCTCTAAACATTGAAGACAAAAGACATTCAAAATACACATATACGGTATACATTTGTTTTAATTTCGTTTAAGTGCTTAGCTTAAGCTACAGACATAATTTTGACCTTTCAAGTTCAAATGAAGTTTGTGAAAATTTGTTTATATTGCATATCCTCATCATCAATCCAAACAATTAATTAATCAATCAATCAATCGTCAACATCATCGTCGAAATGAGAGAAAACTCAGTCTTAAACATATTTTAATGTTCTGGGCAGCCGACGAGGCCTAAGCAATTTGATCCTCTATAACCGATCCTGTCCTGCACCCTAGCTATAGCCTATACAGCGATGAGCATTGCGAGAGAGACAGAGGTGTAGTAGTTAGTTAGTCGAAAATTAAACTATATTACATGGTAATCAACTAAAAGCAAAGTAAATATATATCAACTAAAATCGAATTGATTCGAGTGGCGTGTCCTGTGGTAACCCATTCTCCATCCTCCTGGACATCCTTATCCTCTCGAATCACATTCACTGGGGGCAGTGCGTCGTCCACTTGTTGGTTTTTCCATTTGTTGTTTATTCGTTAGTTTACATTTATGAAAATATATGTTTTAAAAAGCTTAACAAACTATGATCAAAGCGAAAAATTGTCATAACTAAATTAATTTGAAATCTTTTAATTTATCATATTTATATATATAATATATATATATTAATTTATATTTTAATTTTTTGTTCAGTCGACAGTTGAAACTTTGAACTAATTTCATCAAATATTTATCGTTTTCATTGTTTTTCCTAATATTGAGTTAGGTTTGACCGCCTATGGGCGTATGGTCAGATACATTTAGAGTATATATGTATATATCTAGAAACCAGTTTCAAAATTGAAGCTTCAAACGTTTTTGTGTAAATGAAAATAGTTGCATAATTTCAAATGAATTTGTTTTTTTGTTTAGCGTTTTAGTATACATTTAGCTGTAGTTACACATAATCAATTTTTTAATTTATATTTTTTTTTTTTGTAAGCTAACAGAAAATGAATCGATCCTTTTTTGGCGGATGAAAAGGTTTTTATATCGCTTGAGGTAAATTTTGGCAAACAAATTTTGGATTTGTGTGCATTTCGTTACTATTTTATTTTAAATATATATATATATCGATATATTATCGATATCGATTAAGCATACTTTTGTATTTTATGAATACGATGTCTGTCTGTGTGTGTGTGTGTGTGTAGTTGCTAATTAATATACATATACATAGATTTCTTAGGAGCTTAAACATAAAACGATTTTTGTGTTTTTTTGTTTTTGTTTATCATTTAAATTTGAATTTTTCGATTAATTCTTCCAATTCTTGTCAAGCACAACAAAATTTCTGCCTTGTTGCCAAAAAATGTACGCCTTTGCGTAGAATATTAGCTGCTGCTGCTTCTGCTGATCTCTCTCTCTCTCTCTTTGCTTTTCATTCTCTCTCTCTTATTAATTTTTGTAAGATTTTTCCTTCACTTAAAACTTGCTGGTTTTGTGTCGCTGCTGCTGCTGCTTTAACTACAGTTTTGTTTGTTGTTTTGTTGTTTTGTTGTTTGTTGTTTAGACTAGTTTCAGTTGAGTTACGTTACATATTTGTTTGTCTATATAGTATTATTAAATATTTGTTGGTTTTTTCATTTAGTTAATTTCGGTGGTGGAATGCTTTAACTTTCAAACTGGCGCTTAAAAATTATTCAATCGTTGTTCCTGGCTGAGTTTATCTCTGGGTTGGGTTGGTAGGGACTTTTTTTGGACTGGGAATCGAGACTCCTCTCCTTCTCCTTCTCCTGCTACACCCCTTCAATGGCGAGGGTCTATCGTTTGGCTGAGTTGCTTTTGTTTCGATTTTAGGCAGCAATCGCCTCATTTTGCCGTCATTCCCATTGATGAGGCGAGGGCGGCAGCTCCGAAGGATGTGCCACAGTCGAACTAAAATTTTTATTTTTTTTTTTTTTGGAGGGGAAAAATAATAAAAATAAATAAATATTAATTTTGATTTAAAATTTTGTGGTTTTAGTTATGAACACATCTAGATTAGTAAGTTCATGCCATGTACAAAGTAAATTTCAATAGAAAACATTTAAAGCTTAAATTCAAGACAAAATACAAACAAAATACAGAAATACAGTAGAGCTCCCATTTAAAAGACACAAAACTTAAAAACAAAAAACATGAAATGAAAATGCACAAAGTAGAAAACTACAAAAAGAGTTGTTTTGGGGTGGTTGTTTGGAGAAAGGACTCAAAATACAAAGTAAAAGTTTTCGGTTTTTTGTTAATTATAATAATTAAAAGTCATTTAAGTGGTAAGTTGTTCAAGCGATCAAATCTACTTCAGTTTCTTTCTTTTTTCTTTTTTTCTTTGTCACTGCTGCTCAGCTGCACTGCAAAATGTTCTAATTTCTATTTTGCTGGATTTTTTGTGCAGTTTTTAAGGTTTATTTTTTAAGTTAACCAAGCTTATGAGGATGTTTTTTTTATTTTGTGTGCTAAACCTGAACAGATTTGGGTTATGCAGGGCAATGACTGAGCTAAATGATTGGCTGATTGGTGAGTTGAAAAACTAATTTATTTGGCAATTTAGTTTGATATTTTAAAAGGCTAATCTTTTATACTTCTCAAAGGAAATATTAACAGCAATTTCCTATATTTAAAGTCTCCTGTTTGGGCATATTCAAAGCATTTTCATTAGATCTATGTACGAGTATGATAAGGGTGCATTACATATGTCAAGGATAATGATTGCAGTATTTGGAACATGGAATGGTAGGAGGATATGGTCTATGGGCTTAGTTTACTGGATGAAATCTGTATGCTGTACACGATTACGAATATATATATATATATAGATTATATATAAGATATATGACTTGAATGCGAACACAAAACATAAACACAAAATGGATTATGGAGCTGGTTATATGCATTAAGTTCTTGTTCGATTTGTTTGCGATTTGTGGATTTTGGCTTTATAAAATAGTTGAAAATGTCTCGTTTTCCTTTTATTTTTTTTTTTTTTTTTGGTGACTTTTCCTTTGCCAATTTCGTACTCAATTTTCATTTGGGACATTTGTAAACAATTTTATAATATTTCTGGTTAGGCTGCCGTATTTGTTTTTTTTTTTGGTTTTAAGAAAACATTTATGTACACAAAAATAGTTACGCAAAAATACCCATTTAAGAAGTGATGGAAAATTATAAATCATAAATCAAAATGAAAAGTTAATCATAAAGAAAAAGTTAAAACTAAAGAAGTTAAGTTTATTTTTCGTTTTTTCTTTTTGTTTTTTTTTTTTTTTTTTGGTTTTATACACATTTGCATAGGTAAGGAAAATAGGTAAAAAAAGATATGAACAAAAAAGATGATAAACTAAATAAATAAATATTTAGTAAGGTTTTCGCTTTATCAACAGACCTAAGAAGGAGTAGAGAGACAGTTGCCGCCCCGAGGCCTCATTTTCTTTTTGTATCTGTATCTGTATCTTGTATCTTTATCTTGGCTGTGCTTTCATATATTCATTATCATTTTCATTCTTATTATCATTATCATTATCATTATCATTTTCATAATCATTTTTCATTCTTCAATCTTCAGTTAGATAGATAGATAGTATCTTGTGACGTTCTGCGTTTCTATATCGATTCGTTCTAGTGAGAGGAGGATCGCGCGCCTAGTTTTTTTTTTAACGTTCTCGATCTGGATCTGGATCGGTTGTTTGAGGGCAGCACAACAGTAGGCGGCGGCGGTTTGGAGCAGCGGCAGGAGCAGCAGTGCAAGTTGTAGTGGTAGTAGTGGTAGTGGTAGTAGTAGTAGATTTTCTCATTCTCATTGGCTTAACAACGCAAATATAACGATTCGATTTAATAGAAATTTCAAGATTAATATCCATGTTGAACAACAAAAATAAAAGAACAAACGAAAAAGATCATTTAAAAATAAGGTTACAAATCATAATCGTAGTTCGTTAGTTAGAGAGTTAGATATATAGTTAGAGAAAGTTTTCAAGGGGGTAGGACAAGGTACGACAATTAGGGGTATGGTTTCAAAGAAAGAGAGAGAGCATTACACGGAAGCCAAGGTCAATTTAATTTTAAAACAAAAAATATGAAAAATAATCAATTCAGGAAACAGAAAATGAGTTTTACAATTTTGACTAAAGGTGTTAGATTTTGTAATAAAAAGAAAGGTTTGGGATAAAAACAGGACAGGACTGCGTGCAGAGAGTTTTTTGGGGAAAAGGGGTTTTCTTTGTTTCGGGTGGGAAAACTTCTTCACTCACCTGGCGAAGCTCTTGAAGGCCGCACTCTGTGGATTAATGCACAGCGGCACACGACCCGTCTGCAGCTGCTCGGCTATGAACTTGTGCATCTCCTCTGCAAGAATTACAAAAATTGATTATTATATATAAATCTTGATATTATATATCCCACTCATTTCCACTCACCCTTGACCTGCTGCACGGATGTCAGCTTGCGTTCCCATAGATCATCGAAGGGCTGGCCGGCGGAGGGCTCAAAGTCAGCCGTGTACTGGCGCATTCCGGCCGAGGTAGTGAAGCAGCATTTGCACATGCACGAATGGTACCGCAGTCGGCCCTCGTCCAGATACGGATGCGCCAGGGCATCTGTCACAGAAATGCGCTTGTCCTGGTTGGGAGGAATAAGAAAAGGTTATAGTTTAAGGCTGCCAAATCTCTGTTTAATAATTCTAATATCAATATCTTACCGGATCGAAGACCAGCATCTGACAGAGTAGGTGCACCGCCTCGTGCGTGGCATGCGAACTGAGTGTGTAGAGCACCGAGAAGGATGGCGGCTTGGGCGCCCGGCGCAACATATGGGTGCGTGCACCCTCGCAAGCATGCCGCATATCCTCCATGGTGGGTGTGCCCAGCAGCTCCGTGATTAGCTCCAGTTGCTGTACCGGATTCTGCGCCTGGAACAAGATGCGACGACCCAAGAGCTCACCGAAAATACAACCAACCGACCAGACATCCACCGCCGATGAATAGTGACGAGCGCCCATCAGAATCTCGGGGGCCCGATAGTATTGGGTGACCACTTCCTGGGTCATGTGCTTGGCCTGATCGGGTTCCTCGACACGGGCCAGTCCAAAATCACAGATCTTAAGCACACAATTCGAGTTGACCAGCAGATTGCCCGGCTTGATGTCGCGATGCAGGATGCGGGCCGAGTGCAGATACTTGAGGCCGCGCAGGATCTGGTAGAGGAACACCTTGATGTGGTCGGCGGACAGGTGCTGCGGCGATACGATTATCTTGTGGAGATCCGATTGCAGCAGCTCCGTTATCACATAGCTATAGGGGGTGGGTGGTTAAGGTGAAAACCAATTTGATGGCGACATGCGAAAAGAACAAACAATAGTTTTCAAACTCTCTTTCTCTCTCTCTCTTACTCTTTGCCCAATATTTTTTTTAGTCTTGTTTGTTTGAGCTTAAAACTTTTTCAATTAGTTACATTTGCTTTTAGCCCAAAAGTTTCCCCTGCGAAGCCCGAGAAGCAGGCAGCTGACTTTGAAAAATCGAATTTTTATGGTTTCTAAGGGGGGTGAAGGATTAATCAAAATTTTGTATATGATTTTTGGTATAAATATTTAGGGAAGTCATTCGTTGTTATAAGGAAATTCTTTAGTTATGATTTTTAAGAATGAATTAGTTAAAACGCTAATACTTAATATCAAGAATCCATTGCCTAACATGTAATTAAATACGAATTATTAGCTAGACCAGGGGTGCAACGCCTATTCTTTGAGAGTTCATTTGTTTTTTTTAATGCTCTCTTCATATTCATTCATTCTTCTTCTTCGCTTTTAGCTCTCGCGGCGCTATTCCACTAAAAAATTTTCGTTTTCCTCTTTCCGCCTCATTCCGTCACCAACTGTAATATTTTGTTTTTGTTTCTTCCCCGAACATCATCGCATCCTGGCATTGCAACTCTTTCTTTACAACTGCTCTTCGCATTTTACATTTTATTTCGCAGTGAACGAATTGGCGGGTGAGTAAAATGAGTGATGAATCGGTGAGCGAAAAAGAAGTTCTTCTTTTTCTCAGTGCACAGTTGCAAACCAACACAAAAGCATCACTAAATATGTGAACGCTTTCTTGTATTTGTGTTAATAAATGCTCTGCCGTTAGATGATATTGAGCAGCCCTGGTCTAGATCTTCAGTTAAATGTGTAAAGAGAGTTAGTTCTCTTAAAGAGAAGTTAAACCCCAATTATTTATTAAACAAAATCTTGCGGTTTCCTGAAAACCACCAAATTTCACCTTAAGCTTAATTTTCACACACATAAATGTGCAAAAGTTAAACTTTTCTTTGAGTTTTTCGTTTATGTTTTTGTAAAAAGGATACATTTCTTGAAAGAAATCCAAATGTGGCGGCTGTAGAATGTCCAGAGCCGAAAGAACCTGCAAGATAAACAAACAAAAAACAATCATTAAATAAACATTCACATTCAATCAATAATCAACAATCAATAAATCTGAGAAATATTGGCAATGCCAATGAACTGGCGGCAGTTCAAAATGAATATCCCTAGACAATGCACTACAGTCAACACCCATTTACACCTCATTTCAAGGGGATTACGTGGGGGCTGGTCATAAATTATAAAGTTGCAATAAAAATCAAGTTGCATGTTAAGCTCGGCAGCCGGGGCATTAAATGCCACAAGCAAAAAACAGCAAGGAAATTGTTGAACCCTTGATGAAGGAGATACAAAGTCTGGTTGGCTTTTTCTTACAAGGGGAGAGAGAGGAGGGTGCAAGTCCGCTGACTGATGGACAGTAGAATACAAGCTATAACCCAAAAAAAAAAAAAAAATAAAAAAAAAACCAACCACAGACAGACAGGCCCCAGCGCTGATTTATTTTCGCTTGCGGTGCAGAGATGACGAAGGAACTTGCAACAATCACATCAAAAAATCTAACAGGAGGAGCGACTCCTTGCCCCGCCATCCATTTAAAATCAATTTACAATATTTATACAACTCCAGTTGGCCGGCAAAGTGCGTGAAAAAGAAAAAACCAAAAAAAAAAAACCTAAATCCGCAGTGGAAGCAGCACAAAAAAATGTTGCCAGCCACAATGTTGCACATTTAACCCCTTCTTGCCTGGCGTTTGTCGGCGGCGGCAGTTGGCAAAAGCCGAAAGCAGTTCAACAATTTTGAGCACTTTTCGCGGAGCATTGCTAAGGAACAACAACAAAAAGTGCCGACAACTTTGGTTACTGGTTTTTCTTTCTTTTTTATTTTTGTTTTTTGTTTTTTTTTTTTTTGTTGGCCAGCTAAGCCGCTGCCGTCGTCTTCAAGTCTGAATCTCCGTCGCCGTCTTAAGTGGTAAAAAAGTGTTTTTTTTTTCGCATTCGCTCTACAGGAGCTACGTGATGTTTCCCCTTCGTTTCAGTTCTGCTCCTGCTTGGCTGCCTTTGTTTTATATATATATTTAAGTATATATGTGTGTATATATTTTTGTATATATATTTTTGTATATATATTTATTACTTTGTCCACTTTACCCGCCTGTAAAATTCTGTAATATTTCGCGACTGCGCCGCCGCTGCCGTAATTTGGCGACTGCATTTGTTGCGTTTGCGGTTTTTAACATTAAAAGCGAAGAGGTGAAAGAACAACGAATCTTGGAATACTCTTACTAACTTTTTGATATAAATTTCTGGAGTTGTAAGAGCTAAAATCATAATTTTTGTTAGATTTTAAGAACTATTTTTTTGGAGAGTTCTATGAGTTATAAAAGTTTTTTGAATATTTTTAAGATATTTTCAGATTTGTATGAAGAGGAAAAGTTTTCTTAAGTTTTTAGATAAAGTTAGGAAATGTCATGATAATTAATTAATAAATATTAAGTTTCTTTGACTTTATTTTTTAGTACCACTGCTTTTTAGCTACCTGCTAGTAATCCCCAAAAAATAATTAGTACTTCATTTCAGTTTACTATACACAAAGATACAGATACATAGCTATCTTAAAGATGCCAACTCATCATGACCAAATCCCTTCCTCAACCAATTAGTTTTTCTTTCCGTTAGGGTATTAAACAGGCAACAAAAAAAAAAGAGAGGGGGAAAAACCGAAATTCAAGTGTTTCTGAATGGTTTTCGTAGTTGCTTTTTCGGTCAACTTCATTTACTGCACTTCACCTCGCTGCACTGCAACTGCACTTAACTGCACCGCGCAGGCGCGTAATTTGCTGCTTTGGCTGGGTTGTTATTGTTATTGTTATTACTCGAGCTGAATTATTTTGGTTTTTCTTCTACTTTTTGTTGTTTTTATTATTTTTTTCGGGGTCTCACGTGCAACGTGCGGCTTGCAGCTAATTAACATTTTGGCTTGGGCTTGCAATCAGAAACCAAATTTATGCATTGTGCACCGCCGAAGGCAGCCTCAAGTGTCCTTGAAGTGTGTTGTATGAAAATGTAAGGGAGGAGGGTTGGTGCTGGTGGGTTGATGGAAAACAAGGCGAATTGGGCAGCCAAGCAACTTAGTAAGAAAAACAAAAGCAACAGCTAACTGGGTTGAGTTTTCATAGTTTAATGCAGAGAGAAAAAATTGTGTTTAAAATTTATTTTCTTTTTTTTTTTTGGGAATTTTCTTGATTTACAAATAAGAATGGAAACTAATTTGTTAATAAATAAAATAATTTTCATGAAAATTATTATTTTAACATAAAAACTCTGATTAATCCTATTTTGTAAATAATTAATATTAAAAAACTCATTTAAAGTTAAAAAATTTATAAAAAAAAACTATTTTCCTTTAAAAAACATAAACATATTTCCTTCTGTACCTCCTAAAAAATTCTAGTTAAATAAAGATACAGCGAAACAAGTGAAACTTGTGTTCAAGTTGCAACCAGCAGCTGTGGCAGGTTGTTGTTTAACCCACCTCAAAACCCACATCAGCTCCAGCCCCTGTTAACCCACTGAGCGCCACAGCTCTTGTCTACAACTTCCTCTTCTGTTTCCCCCCACCCCACAAACTTCAAGTTTCCAGTGAATTTTCCCTCCCCCATCCCCCAATGTCGCTGTGAAAAAACAAAAGCAAAAGTGTCACCGTCTTCGACTTCTCAAGTATTTTCATTCCAAGCTGAGGAACAAATTTCTAGCTAAAAGATTGTCAGGCAGCAGCAGCAGCTGTCAACACATATTTGTTGGCTAATTAAATGAGTTTGGAAGGGGGCTAAAGGAGCAGCTCCACCGAAATTGACTCTTACAACTCGCAGAGCTAGAAAAATAAAAGAAAAACCTTGAACGGCAGCAACATAAATTTCCTTTGATTTCTCCCAGCTAGTTTAAGTTTTACAAGAAACTTTTTAAAGCCACTTTGGCTTTTTTGCTGGCTCATTTCCTGCTAGATATGAATCTGTAAGGTTAGGAAAAAGGGGGAACAGATGGTGCAGAAAACCTCTTGAATTATATCAAATTTGGTGGCTAATATGATTTTGTATATAATATTGAGAAAATATTAACTAAGATGTGCCTAGAAAATGCAACTTTTTAATACAATCAAAATTTATCAACATTTTGCTTTCCATTTTCCATTTCTATCATTAATAAAGCGTTCAGCTGAATAGAATTATCATTTTCCTTGGCTTAACCCCCTAAAGCACACACACACACATCCCTCAGAAAACGTCCCTCCCAATTGACATTTCAATGGCTAAAAGCAATGAGTGGCAAAAGCAATGCGAATAATAACAAAATTTGCATGCAATTGATGCTGCCAGCGCGTCAAACTCAATCATTTTGGGCGTAGAAAAGGGAGGAAAATCTAAAAAAAAAGCAGAGGGAGAAGAAGTAAAGAGGCCGCCTGCCTCAACCGAGTTGCATGTGAGAAATGCTTTTGAAATGTGCGCCACGTACATTGCAATAAGAAATAAAAATACAACAGAAAAACGTTTTTATTGAAATATTTTCCTATTTTCTTTTTACTTCTTTTCCTTTTTTTTTTGGGGGTTTTCTGCAATTGAAAATGGGCTTGGGGATAATGGGGCGCAAACATTTTGCAGCGATTTGCCATAAACTGCAATATGCATAAAGCATGAGAAGAGTCATTGGTGCGATGTGAAAAGCCATTGAAAAGCGGTCTATCATTCAAGTTTTTGATTGATTGAAAGGGTCAAGGAGTTGCCTTAATCTAAGCAAAAGGGAAAATATGGAAAATTCATATACGAAATCCAGACTAACTTCAGTTTGAGGAAGTTAAAATGTTACTCGATTTCCATATCAAAGTAAATTTGTTAGTAAATTTTCATCAATAAATCAAACAATATTGACCTCAAAATAATATGCCAAAAAAGTGAATTGATAAATGAATAGCAAACCTAACTCCCAACCCCACCCAATGAACTTACAACTTTCGAAATGGAGGTCTTTCATTGATTGAGTTATAAATAGTTGAGCCCGTTTAGGCCATATGAAAAGCGTAGTGGAGGGAGAAGCCAATTTGCAATAAAATGCAAGGCAGCCACGTGCCAAGCCCCAGTGTTTTTCCTATCCCCTCTAACCTTGCCTGTCTCTTTCTAGTCTTTCAATACCCATCTCTTTCTAGCCTAACCGTTTTGGAGTTGATTGCACTTGTTTGCCATTCTCTGAATGATGTCTGTCATGTAGGAAATGAAGCAGGAAACACAGGCAGATGCAAAAAACATCCAAAGAAAATCTAGACAAATTTTCGGTTTTTCAAGGGGGGAAATGTGACAAGTTGGGTTTTTTTTTAGCATTTTATTTACTAAATATTGATTTATGTTATTTGAAATTCAAATTTAGTTTAGAATTTGTCATTTAGCAGTCATTTCTTTGACTAACTTAACAATATTTTACTCAGGTTTAGTTTCTTAAAGAGAAACTTGAACTTAATTTAATATATTTTCTTATTAATAAAGACTAAAAAGCATTTTCTTTCAGTACATCTCTACCATATATCTCCAGCGTTGACAACAAAGTCGCGCCTTCTTTTATTTACCACCCCCACTGCCATTCAGCCCACCCACCTCTAGCAATTTATGCATATTAATAGAAAATTTGCATATTGGGCAAGGTGTTACAGCCCCTGTTGTCGTTGTTGTTGTTGTTGCTGGCAGCCAACATATGGAATCGAGATTGCAGAAAGAAGGAGAGTAGAGAAGGTAAGAGGGGAGATGGAAAATCTAGCTGTCTGCTCTATAACGCCCACTTTTGCTATACCTCTTCATTATTGCATTACGAAATTCACACGCAGCCAAGCGCGATAAAGAAAAAAAAATATAAAAGAATATCACAAAAGGAAATCATGTAGGCTGATGGATATGCTGATGATAGATAAACAGAGATGCTAGATAAAGGCTATCTCTATCTGCATTAGATTTCCAGACAGCCCACGGCCTATTGGTTGTCTAATGACGTTGAACCAATCTGAAAATGATTTAGCCGAAGTAGAAAACCAACATTAGAGGGGAGAGACCATGACATTTAAGACTCTGCCTGTGACAGTTTCCACTAATAACACCATAAAAACCATAAACAACAACAATAACCTCTTCTTTGACTTTTAACTTTGAATGCAAATGTCAAATCTGCCAAATATGGAACTGTAACAAAAGGTTCTAGAGTTAGCCATATGAAAAGCCAGATGCAAGCACGTGCAGGGGAAATCGCAAGGAATATGTAAATAAATTATAAACGCTGACAATTCAGAGGGAATATATATTTATAGAAAATGTTCCATAAAATCGCATAAAACATTCGACCCTCAGCCATATGTATATATTATATATATATATATCTGTACTCTCATGCTAATAGATTTCTGGCAAAATTACAACATGCATTTATGCATTTATTGCCATTGCCTCTGGCTGGTTTAAGCTGCCACAAAATGTTGAACCATTCACAGATACTTTTTGTCCCCTTCGCTTACAAATTTGTTTGTCATAAATTTTCAGGTTTTATTAAATGCTGACACAGCGTGGGCCAAAAAGAGTTTCTTAAAGTACAAACTACTTTAAATTATAACCCTTAATAACTTCCTATCTCTGCCTTATCTCATTTTGCCTTGTGATTTATTATAGTCACCGACTAACCACCCATCCAGCAGCCACCAAACTTAACCCTTTAAGAACTGTTTAAATTCAATAAATTAACATGCCATATCAAACGTTTAATTAATGACAATAATTTCAGCGAACAATAATAATTCCACTCGAGCAGGCCAACAACGGATATTAAATGGTGGGCGTGGCCAAAAAAGGAAATGCGGAAAATTTTCCACCAAAAAAAAAAACAAAGGAAAAATATAGATTTTCCAGAGGACAATCTCTGTTCTGTTGCAGTTGTAAATATTATGAAAAAGACCCCGGGACGAAAGTGGAAAATATAATTGTTAATAAATTCACTGCAGCAGCAGCAGCAGCAACAACAACGAAAAAGCAAGAAATAAGCCAAAAGCAGTCCGACAGCCATGGCGTATACGTGATATTTAACATACAATAAAAGGATAAATATCCATCCCCGCACCCTTTGCACTGACATGTAAATATTTTAATTAAATTTTTATGTCATCAGCGTGAAATGTTAAGTTAACGTATAAAGATAGTTACGAATTTCCACTTACATTCTCATGCTTGAAGAAGCAGAGCATTTTCAGCTCACGGAAAACGCGTTTCGATGAGACCAACGATTGGAACACATTGGGCAGCTTCTTCAAGGCCACGCGTCTTCCATCCCGAGGATCTGTGACAGCCCTGAAAGGTAATCAAAGAAGTTAATTAATTATATAAGTTTAATAAACATTTTTAAAGGTTTTTTTCTGTTATTTTTCTAATAAACTTTCTTTAATCCTTAAAATCTGAGTTTAATGGATTTAATTTCCAGCTCCTTGAGAAAATTCCTGTGTGTTTTCCATCCAGCCAAAAGTTAATCTTCAACTTCTTGTTCACCGCTCAAGTGTCGCATTATAAACAGACCTCAATGGCGAACTCCTCTCTCTCTGCCCCCCGCTCTTTTAGCCTGAATGTCATTTTATACTCTCTCTCGGCCAGACAAAGCGCACAAAGTCGAAATCAGACAGCGACTGGGAGAAGGCAAACAAACATTCGATGGAGTTTAAAAGTTCATTCAACTTTTTGCCTTGACAATAATGCCGGGAGTTATATTTTTCTTTTGTTTTTTTGTACCACCCCAACCCCCAACCCCCAACCCCTTTTGCGAGCCTACAAAATGGCGCCTAGCAAATAGTCAAATGTGGATTGTCTCTCGCAATTGATAAACAAACCAACACAAGGACATCGACACGAAATTAGCAATACCAAAAATTTTGGAGAGGAGAAAAAAAAAGGTCAAACGACAGACATGTGGGGTTTTGGTTGGGTGATGGAAAATTAAGGCGAATGAATCAGGTTAAAAGAAGGGGTTGGTGGTTCGAACACCGACAACGACACAGAGGCGTCGGGGCCGGCTTATGGAGAACTTTTATGATGCCATTGGCCATGGCTGGGTGTTAGTCAGAGTCCTGTCCTGTCTGGGGCCAAGTCCTTGTCGTCTGTCTGCCCGACTGCTACTTGCAAAGTAAACTACACAGTGAAAAATTAGCAATAAATCTGTGAAATTTACATAAATTTAAACTCTATTAAAGATATTTTTTGGGTTAACTTGGAAAACTCCATTATTAACATATTTTATATATTTTTTTATTTAAGTTGCTTTCTTTTTAATCTATTTTTTATATATGTTTTTTTCTCTAAGTGCCCTCATTTTTCACCAATTTTTCTACTTTTTTCGCTATCTTTCAGCATTGCCTTGTCTGTGGTGAAAAATATTTTTGTTATGGCCATTCCTTTCAGTGGGCAGAAACTGCGCAGCATCTTTTGCTTCTTCGGTTACCAGAAAATATTCCTCTTTTCTCCTTTCTTGGCCCTGCTTAAGGGAATCTGGTTGGGCTGCTTGATAAGTTGAGGGCCGTAAATCTTTTAGCCCTGTTAGTTCGGCCGACGACATTTAAGCGTTCAGAATTATGGCCAAATTGCTGCAGATTGAATTGGTTTGTGTGAGGCCAATGCTTGCCTCTCTTTGTCTCTCTCTGTGTGTGTGTGTTTTTGTTTCTTATTGGATGAGTCAGCATCCAATTTGAGTGTAGCATACATTAGGGCGCAGAGAAAGCGATTTGCATGTCTGAGTTGGAAAAACAAATGAAAATCGTCTAGGCACAATATCAGAAGTGTTAATGATAATGAGGAGCGTGCGTAACACCATTATGCTAAAATACAAAACAACAAATGTCTAAGAAAGGCAGACAAATGGCAGTTAGAAAAGCATAACGAGATGAAATGTTACTTCTTTCTATTAATATCTCTATTCCTCAACTTTTTATAACTTTCATAAAGATTTCCCATTGAAAACAGCTCATCTTGGTAAGAAAAGACTCGCACCCAGTAATATTTTATGGTCATCTATCAAAGTCTTTGGCTCAAAGAGGAAATCTCAAAATCAAGAATTCACTTTGTTTGCCATGAATTGGGTTAAAATCAAAAATTGTTTACTGGCACCGCCAGAACCAACCGATAAGACCACACATACATGGACAAATGAGAACGAATGAGATGCGGTATGATAAAAGGGGACAGCATAGAAAGAGAGAGAGTGAGAGAGAGAGATAGGGACAGAAAGAGCAAGCCTGATGATGATGATGGATGACAAAATGCAGGCGGCATGTCTGTATGTTTGTCCATTCGAACCCCCCTTCTGACCTTCGTTTTTGATTGGCCTCTCCCTACAACATTTTCCTCCCCCCCTCATTTTCCTTTTACATCATTGCTGCTCCTGCTGCTGCTGCAATTTCTGATGTTGTTTTCATTTCGTTTTTCGTGTTTTTCCCCCTCTTTCCACTCCTTTCAATGTCAGTTAATGGGAAATCATTTATCATGTGCGTGTCCCTGCTCTAAGAGAATCAAGAAAACGCACAACCAGTTGGGAAAATGAGTCTTAAAGCAGGGCAATATATTCGTAGCGAAAGAAAAAGTGCCAGAACTAAATGATAATTACCCAACAAGACAACAAAGAGCTCAGACACAGAGAGGGAGAGATCAATAATTTATCATCAGTGACCCCTGGCTGGGGGTCTGCCTCTCTGTCCTTCAATTTGTGCCGCTTGGTCTCCACTCAACTTGAAAATTTGTTATAGTTTCCCTCGATTTCTGATTGATTCAGTGGAGAGAACCAACGAAATGCTGAATAAAAAACATCTTCAATTGTCTTTCCCAATTTCAGATTCCAGGTGTCTGTTCGTTCGTGTTCAAGTGCTTGGAATCGAATCAAAAAATGGTTTTATAGATACGTGGGGGAAAAGGGGTTAAGCTCTGTAGTGGGAGAAGTGCGGAGAAGCTGCCCCCAAAGGATGGAAAACTTCAAATTGCCATTTCGATGCTCGCAAAGTTTTTGTCTTCTTGTTTCTTATTTTACATTTTGGCCATTTTCCCTTTCTGTTTCTTATATCTTTTTCGTGCCGCAAACAAATTCAAATATCCTTTCGATTGACTCTTGGCCAGTTGGTTATAAACTAAAGGAAGGAATCCTAGTCTCAGAAGGTATATTGTTTACTTTATAATTTTAAGATTTACCTTCAAAAATCTGTTAAATACTTGAAAAAATCAAGTCTAGAACCGAATTTAACAATATTTTTCCAATGTTTTCCTCTGAAAATCTTCCTAACTACTAATTACAGGATATTTCCCATTCTATCAATACCCACATCTACCTCCATTGAATACTCCTTTCATTTGGTTTAAGCAGCTTAAGCTGAAAAATAACTTTTCAATGACTTTTCAGGCTTGGACCTCGCCTGCGGGTCACATCTGCCTTTACTTTACATTATTATTTCATTCCTTTTCAGTTTTTTTTCACTCTCTCTCTCTCTCAATCTCTTGATTCCTTGTTTTTGTATATATACATATATAAGAAATGATGTTTTTGGACCCCTTTTTAGAGACCAGCATCAGCATCAGCATTATATATCTCAGGCAGCCGTCGCCCTCATCTGCTGCTTGCATAATTTCATTTTTGATTTCTTCTGACACTTTGCACATGCTTTTTGAATAACTCATCACCTTGTGCACTCATCATCAAACATTCTTGGCTCAGCCACACCCCCTTTCGACCGCCCCTTAATACCCTTCCTCTCACCTCTCTCCCGCCTCCCGCATCTTCCCCTTAAAAGCTGATCCATCCAAGTGAGCATTTGTTGCCTTTGGGCCTTTAACTTCCTGCTGCTGCTGATGCTGTTTCATGTCGTCATTTTCGTCTGCTGACTGCCTTCTCCTCCATCTACCCAGAACCAAACGTTCATTGAACCCACCTCTCACTCAGCATTCTGGAACTCACTCTTCTTGGCGGTTTTTACTCGATTTAAACTTTTTTAAAGAATTTTTGTGGCTGCAAAATTGTTGTTTTCTGTTTAAACCTTTAAAATCATCTCAAAAACACTATTAAAATCATATCAAAATGCATTCCTCAATTACTAATTGCAGTTTTGCTATAATTATGGGCCCATTATATATGCCACATGAGCCCACAGCTGCTGATGATGGGGTGGCATATCCCATTTCCGCATTTCCCATTTTCGCATTTCGGCCTGCGTGTAAATTACTAATTTCTGTTGTTCGTCCTGACATCGCTTTGATTGTCTCTGTCACTCTCACTGGACGCTGTCTGTCTCTCTCTCTCCCTCTCGCTTTCAATTTGCCTTCCTGCTCTTTGTTTGCCCTCTGATGTGCTGATCCAAACGATTGTTGTCCTTCTGCTGATGTTAGCATTACGCAGCAGTGTCCATTATTTTGGTCAGCCAACGGCGGTGGATGGTCTATAAAATGCAAACTCATGCGGGTGTTTACTGTACAGGTGACGAAAGTGTTGGGAAATTGTAATTTAAAGAATATATTTAACTCTTAAAAAGAGTTTAGTTCTAGGAAGTATCAAAATTTAATCGATTTTTCGAAACTATTTTCATATATCTTTTTATTTTGATAGTTCTGAGAGGTTTTTATAGGTTTAAAGTCAAAAACATGCCTACATGTTTCAAATTTCATATAATTTCAAACCTTATTTAACTTCTCTTTGGGTTAAAACTGCCATATAAAGCCTATTTTTGGGTTAAAATCGCCATATAAAGCTCTATGTCGCCTGTACCACATGTAGATGCATCATGTTTGGGCCAAGTTTTCCCTTGATGCCACAACGATGGCAACTAATTCGCATGTTTCAGCCATTTCACACTGTTATAATTATGGCAATGTATGCCAATACCAGCAGGGAATTCATTCCATACCTCTCTCTCTCTCTCTTTCTCTTTCGCACAACTAGCCAGCTATCTCTCTCGCTCTTTGAATACGCAGCAACATTAATTGCAACATTTTCGCTGTTGTTAATTGACTAATAACTTTGGGGTTTATTCCCCAGGGATGGAGAGGGGAAACAAGGGGGAAAACCCCAAAACCGGAAGAGAGTTTGGGGTCTTATATAGACACTAACCATAGGCTAAAGCAATTAGGCTTAATTGAATTTGATTATATAAATAAAATAACGAATATTCGCATGCCAGAATGGCTTTAAAAACTCAATTTGAAAACTAGCCAAGCTGTGTGTGTGTGTGTGTTTGTGTATGTTCTGGCAAATATCTATGGAAAAGCTATGGAAAACCCAATCTCCGTTTTTCCTGTCTCTTTCCCATCCCGCTACCCACTTCCTGTTACCC